TTTCATCATTGTGAGGCTGAGTGCCGTGCATAAAATTCAGGTCCCTGCGACCAAGGTCAAGGTCACACTTCTGTGCATATCTTCCTATTGATTTGTTTTAAGGTTCATTTAACAACACAGTGCCTAAGAATAAAAACTTGCTTGCTAGATAACACTTATCCATAATGCCCCCATCTCCATCTAAAGCTTTTTCGTAAACGGGCGTATTTTGTGACTATGGCACCCTTGTTTTTATATAACTCTTGAAAAATGCAAGACATACGATAAAAGGTTTTAGACTATACTGTCGGAGGAAAAAAACGATGTGACTTGGTCCGAGTGAAAATGACAAATACATTTAAAAAATATTGGTGAAGTGTCTGGGGAAATTGTTTCTAGTGCATCTTAAAATGCTGAAATTCAATTTTTTATGGGGGGTTTCGCCCCCCTATATACACCTATACCCTTGACCCCAATGGGGACCTGAGGCCCCCAAACCCCCGGCTTTTTCAGGATTTTAAATTTAGACTTGTTGAGACCCCTGTTAAAAGCAAACAAAACAATATGGCATTAGTAAATTATTGTCACTGCTAGTAAAGATGTGATGGTTTAGAATAGGATAAGGTACAAAAGCTGTTTTTGTTTTATTTCTGTATTTTTAGCTCGACTTTTCTATGAAAAGGGGAGCTATCCTACTCGCCCCGGCGTCGGCGTTAGCGTTGGCGTCACACCTTGGTTAAGTTTTTCGTACCACCCCACTTTATTTCAGAAGTATTACAAGTATGGCTTTGAAACTTACCATACTTGTTCACCATCATAACCTCCATCTACAGACAGGAGTACATAACTCTGTCAAGGTTTTTGACAGAATTATGGCCCTTTTTTGACTTAGAAAGTGTATTGAGCTTGGTTAAGTTTTTTGTACCACCTCACTTTATTTCAAAACCATTGGAGGTATTGCTTTGAAAACTGACCATACTTGTTTACCATCACGACCTTCATCAACAGACAAGAGGACATAACTCTGTCAAGGTTTTTGACAGAATTATGCCCCTTTTTGACTTAGAAAATACATTGAATATGGGTAAAATCCACTTATTGCCTTAACCCTTTGAGATATTGCTTTGAAACTTTTAATGCTATTTCACATCATTACCCCCATCTGTACGCAAGAGAAGGTAACTCTGTCAGGGATTTGTTTTTAAAAATTAAGGCCTTTTATCGACTTAGAATCTTGGTTAACTTTTTTGTACCAGTCAACTTTTTGACTGAACTGGTTGAGATATTAAATTGAAAGTTGGAATACTTGTTTACCATCATGGTCCCAAAACATGGGCAGGAGAAGGTAATTCTGTTAAGGATTTTATTTGAATTATGGCCCTTTTTGACTTAGAAACTCAGTTAAAATTTTCATTCTTGTCCACTTGTTGACTTAACCATTTGAGATATTACTTTGGAAGTTGGAGTTCTTTATGTGCCATCATGAGACCTATCTGTAAGCAAGAGAAGATAACTCTGTGAAAATGTTTCTTGATTTGTACTTAGAAATTCCTAGTTAAAGTCTTGTGTGCCCTTAACTGTCAAAGTTTTGTTTTATAGGCAAGCACTAAAAAAGTCGAGCGCGCTGTCCTTCTGACAGCTCTTGTTATTTAGACAGAATAACAAGATAGTATGTATGCTAAAATATAAAGGGAATATTATGGTTAAAAAATAACTTTATATTATATAGATGGTGAATTTATACCAAGTACACTCACACTCGTGTTTCTTATACCTGGGAAGTATTCTGGTGGATGAATATGGATCGGACAAAGACTGTACCCAAGGTCTTATAGAAATGTTTCAGGTAATTACAAGAAATTATATAACATTGTATGATTGAAGATTGATATTGCCAAAGTTAAACAATTATTGATTCATTAAAAGAACTCCACTGATATCCAAAGACTAAAAACTTAATAATTTGAATTTCCTACATGGATCAGTTGGGGCACTTAACACAAAAAGATTTGGAAAAGATAATTAAAATGGATCCCAAATAACTTGAAAATTTTATTTTTATGCTATTCTTAGTCCGATTTGAGTGAAAAGCGTTGCAACGCTTTTCAATTTTGGGTTATTTTTCACTATTATTAAATTACTCTTGAAGAACATAGTGTGGAATGATTTGAAATTTTGCACCCAAGTTAGTAGTCTTGACCTTCATCAAATGATCAAATAAATCTTAAAAATTATTTTCTTTCCTTCATATAAAAAAAAACTCAGTGATGTCTCTTTGATAAGGTACTGGATAAATAAAGTTAAAAAAAAACAGATTCTGTAAATAGCATATTTGAGACAGAAAGTGTAGAGACAATGGTATACAAAGTGAATACCTGTTCGAAACCCTTGATTTGTTCTAGTAAAGAATAAGATGATAGGGTTTCATGGTAAAGACACCCAAATTTCATATTGCAAAAGGTTAAATACTGTATGTTTGCATGAGTTGAAATTCCAAGTTTGTTTTAATACTTTGCAAGTAAATAAAAAATGTCGTTCACATGTTTGTCATAATCATTTACTGAATGATATTGTTTTGTAAGTTAGGTTTATTTTCACGAACTAGAAATGTTTATATATTCATATATATTTATATATATTGTTCTTATTTTTATTTTATTTATATATATATTTTTGACAGGCATTTTGTCCACCCACATTTAAATTATTAGAAGAACAAAATGGGCTTAGAAACCATCCAGATACTGTAGATGATTTATTTAGACTTAGTTTAAGGTAAGCATCTATAAATCTTTTATTCTCAAAATATTCACAGATATATTTATTATATTGATTTAGCCTGGTAGTGGCAACAGATTTTATTCATGCGATCAGTGCAGACTTAGATCAACAGGCACATCCATGCCAACTGATCATGGTTCAAGTGTTTGCTTTTAAGTTGGCCCATATTTTCAAATTTTTCTAAAAAATGATGGTTTTGTCTCGGAATGGCTTTGTTATCTGAAGCAACAGATGTGCCAACAAAAACAACCGATTTGGCCAAGGGTCAAGGGGGATATTTTAATCTACAGGCCGACTGATTTTTACAGCATTTAAACTGATGATATAGATTGCCAATCTGTTTATAATGAAAACTCTGCATGTGATAAAGTTGGGGTTTTTTTGTTGATTTTTTTTTTTTCACCTATCTTATTCTTGAGATTTGATGTTTTCATGGTAAAATCTACTGTTGAATACCTTTTACAAATGCTGATATATTTTATAAAGTAGTTCCTCAAAACTATAACAAGTTATTGTTTTACCAATTACAGATTTATACAGCGAGCTCCACTGCCATTTCTTCAGAGTGTAGCAATAAAACCTGTCTTGATGTGTGCAATAGCTGCTTGTTCGCTCGACCATAAAGATGCGAACGCTTCAGTGATGAAATTTATAACGGAATTCGTGAAGGCATCATCTTCTAAAGATGTAAGGGTTTTTTGTGGGGTTTGTTGGCTTTTAAGGCTTGTTAAGTTCTCATTTCATTATTGACACGGTTAAGTTTGAAAAGATCCAAATGAAAATATGAATACTTTCTTATTTGAGTTATTTTGCATAATAATGACTTTACCTAATCATTGATAACATTGTTTTAACCATATAACATATAAATTGTCCTTTAGTGAAATGGGAACTGTGTATTGTTATTTTGCCCCCCTTGAAGATTAGAAGTAAGGGTATATTGCTTGGCACACAGCATCTCTTGTACCGTCTGACCAATAGCCCAGAGAACACTTTGGCCTACAGTTTTTATTCTTCAGGTCCAAAAAAATCTGTATCAACTCCTTATTGTAAACAAATTATCAAAGTTTTGTCAAAATGTCAAGAAATCGGTTGTGTGAAATAGATTCTAAACTGATTATATTGTACAAGTACACAGCTACAAAGTCTTTGTTATACTACGCTGGTGCCTAGTCCAATATAGGTTTGACAGCTGTGTACTCATCCAATAGAATTCATATTGTATTCAACAATTTAAAAAAAAAATTCATAGTATCATCTTTGTTAATGATAAGCTTAGGCATAGATATGTTATCTACATCTCTATGATAAGTGAGCTATTTATATATTTGCAAGCTATGTCATATCATTCATTTTGTATGATTCTAGGAACGTGAAGATTTTGAAAGCAGGAGCACTCTAGTAAAGAATTTGTTACACGAGCACGGCCAGGCGCTGGTTCATTCCCTCATTCATTCTATCGTGTTTTGTCTGCCTACGTACATGTCTGCCGACATTGGTGAAGTCTTGTATGAGATCATGCTGGTAGATCGACCTGTAAGTTGTCTATTAATTTTGATGACTATATATCTTTATCTGTATATGACAAAATATTTGTTTCTTTATATGCATTGTTGAATACTTACCTCTATTAGTGTTGCTGGACCATTATTAGAAAAGCTGGCATTTAAAGGGGTTAATAGTTTTCAATTCTTTACTTGACTATTATATTTTTATATTAGAGAGAGCTAAATCACCAATCATCAGCATCTGCGTCTCACTTTTGGTTAAGTTTTTCATAGAACCCTATTTATTTTTGATACCCACTGAGGTATTGCTTTGAAACTTTGTATACTTGTAGTGACCACCATTCCCACTTTCAGTCAAGAGAACATAACTCGGTCAAGGATCTGGACAAAATTATGCCCCATTTTTCAGTTTCCATACCACCCCACTTATTTCCTTTATCCTTTGAGGTACATTGTATTTTTACTTGTAATTGTTGTCCATCGGGATGCAAGAACTAACAATAGTCGAGTCTGCTGTCTTACTGACTGTTCTTGTTATCTGGTTAATTTATGTATCTAGAATGAATCTTTACCAGATTGATATTTATGCGTCAAAGATTAAAGACGAAATTATTTTTTCTAAATTTGAAAAAAAAATTAAGTACCATCTTTTTGTAAATGAACCAAATATATAAACACACCAAACTTATAAAATTGAATTCTGTGCATGCTTTTGACATCTTTTGTGTCTTAATTACATTGTCTACAACTGTCTTAATTACATTGATTATTGTACTTGCCGGACATGTTAAACAAACGTTATTTTTAGGTTATTATTATAAGGGGTCATGGTGTATTGGGGTGGCAGTGTATTTTGTAATTTCATTTTTCAGTACTGTTAAATTTACAATGACTCTCTTTCAGACATTTTGTGTATGGTTAGAGCATGTATTGAAGGCGTTGCCAACGGAGGCTACGGGCGGAGCTATAACAGTGACTCATAAGCAGTTAACAGACTTTCATAAGGCCGTGACCAGTGCAGAAAAAATTTCACCAATTTCAGACGCTTTAAGAGAATTCGCTCGCTTATATAGATGAGAATGATCAAAGATAATTTTAGATTATTATTTAAAGGATAAAGGTTGTTTTTAAGCGCATAAAAATTTGTATTTGAAACAAGTGAAAATGTGTGTTAAGGAGTCGTAACCTTTCATTTATCCCGTGCAGTTTTTAAAACACCAAAGCTTGTGTGAAGAGGTTTTATTTATAAGGAAACTTCAATATCCCCTTGGGCATTTTTTAATATGATAAATGTAGTGCGCAGGGTATGGTATTTTTTATAAAGAAATATATTGTGAGTGAAAGGAAGCTAATTTTATAGTACTGATTACATGTTTCTTTTATTGCTATTATTTCTAACGACAGCTTTCATTTTACACAGCAATTGTTTTTAAACCTAGAAGGCGTAACACAACACAAATCCTTGTTGCTTTTGCTTATAAGATTTTCATCTTCCATCAAGAAACCAATTTTAATACTGGACAGAATTGTTAGTAGTTTGTTTTACAAAATGGACGGTCACAAAAATGGTAGAAGTCTACAAGATTATCAAGATAGTTTACTATATTTAAGATTACAGAAGAGGAGTATTCATTATCGTAAGCCATTCCGTTTGTGAAATCTGGGGCTTGAAACAAATATTGTACTGAGTGTAGTGACGGCACAATACAAGTGTATAGAAAATATATACAAAAAAATGAAGCAAGTTTATTTGTCAAAGCAAATGAGGAGCTTTGAGCAATGCTAAAATATAAAGTGTACAGCATAGGATTTAAATGATACTGCATATTGATGGAAGTGTACATTTGGTAAATATCCCGAAAATAAAGGTCCATTTACAACAAATACAAAAATCATTTTGAAAAAAAAAATGTACTCAGATATGAAGTTGTTTTAATACGTTCATCAGACTGGAATATAATTTTAACCAAGAATAATGAATTTTTCAAATCTGTGCCAATGATTGACAGGAGAATATCTGCAATACATTACTATCACTTCCATCAGTAACCGCTTCGTTTTTTTATTCGCGAACAAGAAATATAGTGAGTAATGTGAACAAAGAGGAAGGGTCTTTTTTTTTACTGACGTGATGATATTTTATGTAACTTCTTGCTTTAATGTAAACCATAGTGTTCAGAGATGGGTAACTAGTCAATTTTATAACTGGCTTCCAAACTTTTTAGACAAAATTTTATTCCTAGAAAGAAATGACGATAAATAACTTATAGAGGAGCGAGTTTTAATGCATGTACAATGTAGAAGAGGGGTTTTTTTGCTTTATTTTTACTTTTCATTTTAGATTCATGCACAACTAGATGCATTGTATTTTTTAATTAAAAAAAAAAAACGAGAAAAGATCAAAATATAACAATATCAGTAGAAAATAGTTTTGGGGAAAAAAATAGTTTGGTATCGTAAAGAGGATGTAAGATCATATTTTTGTTAGAACAAGAAAAAATAAATATATTGTTTAGATTTTATGCTGAAATGCATGTTGTAAATGATAAATGTGAATATAAAATGTCCTAACTGGGCATACAAAATCAAAACCCAGTGATGTGTATATAATAATATGACCATTTCATTAAATAAGATTCAATCTGATTGATTTTGCATTGTTGAAAAATAAATTAGTTTTGTTTGGTATAGTGGTATTTAATTTCATACAATCAAAGTCAAGTCTTTTTAGATTTAGTATACAAACTCATTTTTATTTCTCTGAAAATTTAAGTTGTATTGGAATCTACTGTAATGCCTGAAATAATAAGGGCATTTAAGGTCTTCCTCCACCAGTAAAGCTGGAAAGTCTGCCATAATATTATCTTTACTATGTCAGTGTGACTGAAAATCAAACATTTATTTAATTTATTTTATTGAAATGAAAGGCACCAGATTCAGAAAAAATGAATACAATATAATTCTTGAACATATATCTTATTAATAAAGTGTCTTAAAAATAGAAATTAACACACAAGGGCAACGCAACAGCACCAGAAATAGTTTACGTATATGAAATTTGGGGAACTATATTTTCATGAAAACAAATATATTAGATAATGAACTATATAGCATATATATAAAGATACAATTAGTTATCAGTGTGCTATTTTAATTGTGTATAAAATTCTGTATAAAAAGTATTTTAGTTTTGTTTTATATGCCTTGTTTTCTCTTTTTTTTTATATATAAAAATCATGTTAAAAATACACGAGTATGACAGTACTATGTCATATTTTTTAGTAAAAAGTGATAGAAAAAATCTTATTTTGACTTTGTTTTTACTGCTTTAGTGCTTTTGATGAATATTATTGGATGAATTGTAGGTCTTTAAGTAAAATTTCAGGTTATAGATATTGTCACTACAGAGAAAAAAATATTGGCTAGAAATAGCAGCGCTACAGATCCAAATAAGTTAAGAGAATATTGCACAGACATTCTAACATTTTGGTTTTAAATGGCTAACCAACAGTTCTTTCACGCCACATACTGTGATTTCTTTTAATTTTATGGGCATGAAATTTCGTAGTTTTGTCACAAAGAGCAATTTTGTGTTCTTGACTTTGTGGACTGTTTATTTTTCCAAAAGGTAAACTGTAAACAATGTGATGCAAAATAGCAGAGAAAATGAACTTTAGTTTGATATTAAATTCATGGATTGACCTATCCTGGAAAATCAGTGCCCCACAAATAATGATTTGCAGTATACTATATAAGCCACATATTCACATAAATGCCTTACAGAAAGGAGTGTCAAAGACAATTCCAATTTTGTTCCCCGCACAAAAGTAAGTTCAAATGTATATGCAGACTCTCAGGTCAGTGTTCTTTACAATTTTTAGCTTGACTTTTTTTTTGGAAAAAAAAAGTAGAGGTATTGTAATAGTCCTGGCGGCGTTGCTGTTGCCGTCCGCAAACTTGTACCTGGATCATAACTTTTTTTAGTTTTTGGTTTTATTGTCTTCATACTTGGCCACAACAACCCTTGGGACAAGACCTTTCAGTAGACCACACTAACCTTGACCTTCATCCATAAATGACCTTGACCTTCAAGGTCAAAAGTCCAAATTTTGCTTGTTCTTGCTATTATTGGCTGTAACTTTATTTTTGAATGGATTGTCTTCAAACTTGAACATAATCTTCAAGGATAGCCCTTAAAAATAACCAGACAGACCTTGACCTTCACTCAAAAATGACCTTGTTTTTGAAGGTCAAATTATTGAAATTTTCGTTTTATTTTTTTTGCTATTATTGGCTGTAGCTTTGTTATTTTTGAAGGGATCGTCTTCAAACTTAAACATAATAATCTTCAAGGATAATCCTTAAAAATATCAACCACAGACCTTGACCTTCACTCATAAAGGTCAAATTATCGAAATTTTCATATTTTTGGCTGTAACTGGCTGTAACTTTGCTATTATTGAAGGGATTGACTTCATATTATAACAGAACATTCTTAAGGACAAGACCTTTATGTTTATCAAACTCAAATTGACTTTTGCTCTTTTATGACCTTGACATTGAAGGTTAAATTACTTAAAGGTTAAATATAAAAAGAACTTTTTTTTTCTTCTGTAATACACATGCAGATATATATGGAAATGATTCATACTTTGACAAAACTAATGTGACAAGATTGACATTAAGATTTGTTCAAACATTTTTTTGTTTGCTTTTAGAAAAAGTAAAAAGTCGAGCGTTGCCCCCGCCCGGTCGGTGGTGGCTCTTGTTAAGTAGGGGCATAAAAAAGCTGTCTATGAAAGCTAGTATGTTAATGACGAGCCTATACAACCAGTACATAGCAAGGCTAATTATTTTTAGTATACATTGTATATAGTTTTATTGTTGACACCAGATAAACCCATATCTGAGACTCGCTGTTAAACGCTGCAAATTTCTGGAAACTTGGACAATAATGCAACACTTGAACAGATACAGGAGCTACACAATCTTGTTTGATCCTCGGCAAGGCTGAAATACCTGTGATATAGTTTATCTTGGACTTATGGCTAATGCTCATTGGTTTCGCGCCACCGATTCAGAAAACATTTGGGATTAAAAGTGAGTCAGTAATGGAGACACTAGTAATTACTAGCATAAAAACTATAAAACTAAAATTATATAAAGAAGCATTACACATTACAGTATTTGAGGAGGAATACAGGTAAACATGGAATAACCGGTATAAAAGCATTTACAAGACATTTTATTACCAAGTCTGTCTTTTATTACAAAAAACTTATATAGAATAGGTTAGTAACAATATTCATATATGAATAAAAGAATAAAATCTCAATTAAAATGAACACAAGTTCTATGTTGAACACAATGAAAAATAACAGTACAAAAGTATGACGTGGAATTATCTGAAAATTCTATTTTAATAATACAGGTATATATCCCTAAAAACTATTTTTAGCACCATTGACCAATCTTTAAAAAAAATTCTCTAAGTGTGTAATCCACAAATACACTATTCCCCATATTTACAGTAGAAAACACTTGTTGAAGTATGAAAGATGAGGCAGTATTAGAGTATTAAACAAAGGGATCATTTGTGCAATATCTGAGAAAATTGAGGCTTTTAAGACATAAATTGTCTTCTTTCTCTAAAAATGCTTAAATTTCTCTTAAAATGCTTCTCATGAAAAATTCTGTAAAAAGATACTAGTTTCTATATATTCATAAATGAGCAATACATATGTACATTTATCAAAATTTGTTTTAAAGAAATCACCAAAATTTAACACTCATGACTAGAAATTCACACATTCATACAACCTGCATATCGAGGGATTACTGCAAAACTGCAGTCACTCATGAAATAAAAGAAAGGACTTACAACAGTCTTGCAGATCCAATTGCACTATAATACATTGCATGTTAGTAACACTTGTAGCACCAAAATAATATTCACATGCATAAAGACTAAAAAGATAAAGTCAGTATCGAGTAAGTTTGACAAGGTCACAACCTTACAAGAAAAATGGTTATCATGTTTTCAATTATAGACCAGAAAACATGGTGTCATGTCCATTGTTTCAGAGTCTATTAAATTCATCGCATGACAGATTATTGTGTAATTGTTGTAACAAATAACTGGCTCTCCTCCATTAAGCCAGCTCAAATGAAGGAAAGGTAAAAATTGTAAAATCTTGATGATACTAGATACAATCATGAACTATAGAAACTACATTGATGACAAACAATTATACATGTATTTCAATCTTAAATTAATCTTTCCTAAAAATTCTGATGTTTAGATTTCTTTTTCCAAATATTTTTCTTTCTCTTAAAAAATCCAAATAAAAGTTCATTCGTTAAAAGAATGAATTAAAATCCTCTAAAAGTTTCAATAAAAAATCTAATAAAATGTTCTCCTATGTTGTAAAATATGGAAATGGACTAAATCATTCCATTGAATAAGAAAATCTAGGTGAAAAAAGACGATGTATAATGTTCTGCTGGCATTTGCCTGTCCGTCTGTCTGTATGCATTGCTGGTTACCTAAAATAAGAAAACAAATATGGATTGCTTAAACACATGTTTAACAATTATTCAAAGACTTTTGACAGCAGTGAAAAATTTTGAATTAAAATATGAAACATTCAAACTCAAATTCAATGCATGATTTTGTTTTCTATGTATTTAAAGTCCATTTTCCTCTGTTATGAACAAATGCCTTCAAATACTTTTTCACTTGACAAAGCCTTTTCAAAATTCTGTACCCTTTACCTTGCTGAAAGGGATAGTAATTAGAGTTTGTTAATGGTATAAAACTAAGAGAATACATTTCATCCAGTTTCCAACTAGTTGCGGTAGTGTACACTTAAGACTTCATGAAAAATTTTCTTACAGGTATAAAAAATTAAATTGCAAGCATTTGTTATTTTTACTTACAGTTGGACAGTGTATAATACAAACTGGTGTTCTGCTATGGGAACGACTACTCTGCGCATGGAACCGGTCACAGTGTCTTTGTGCTACTTCCTGAGTCTCTGATGGTGGGTTACTTTTGTAATATCTCTGAAAATAAAATGTATTCCAGATCATAATTATCTTTGTACACTTCTTTTAATTTTTTATTTTTGAATCCAGTTATTCAATTTTATTTTCTGTATAGGACAGTTTAATATATATTTATTTTCAAAGGCATCTGAAATAGATATTATTCAATATTAATCAACAGAAGTCAATAAATATAAACATTAATCAATATAAATTAACATTTGTATACTATATAGAAATCAACACTGCCATTCAGCAGTTTTTCTCGCCTAATTGGAAAGAGCCCTTAGCCTCTTGATTTTGGGGAAATTATCACTAAAATTGCTAATTTGGTAAGTGAAAAAGCTGGTGTAAGATCAGATTTTTGGGAAAAGCGTACAATCTTTTAAAGAAAATTTTGATTGGGAAGAGGCTGTTTACAGGTGTTATAAAAAGTGGAAAATTACAGTCTTTATAAATCATTATCTGTCCATACAAATCAAAATTTGCCAATATAAAATATTAATTAATATCCAAATAATTCAACTTAAATTAATATAAATCAACATCAGTCAATATAAAAATTGACAAGAGAACATATATGAGCCGCGTCATGACAAAACCAACATAATGGGTTTGCGACCAGCATGGATCCAGACCAGCCTGCGCATCCGCGCAGTCTGATCAGGATCCATGCTGTTCGCTTACAAACCCTATTACAAGTAGAGAAACTGATAGCGAACAGCATGGATCCTGATCAGACTGCGCGAATGCGCAGGCTGGTCTGGATCCATAACCCATTATGTTGGTTTTGTCATGATGCGGCTCATATATTAACATACATATGTAAAAATCTGAAAAGGTGGTGATCCCTCAGAAGCAATGCAAACAACAAAATTACACGAAAATTGCAGACTCGGTTTGATTGAGTCTGTCCATGTAAGTCAATATAAATTGACGTCAGACCAATAACAATATAAACCCAAATAAGTTGAGCATGTTGATTTGACTGATAGTGATACTGCTAGATGTATTCAAGTTTGATTTTCCTGCACGGCACTTGAGATGTTAGTCAGAATAAACAAGTAACCATTAAATAAGCTGATACCTATATTGAACACCTTATTCCTAATCTTTGCCAATGTGCTTTCATATCACAAATCTAAATTCAGTTCCTATTCCTTTATAAAAGCGAACACTATGAAAAATAAATGGAGAAATATAAGATTTAACAAAAGCTTTCAATAAAGCTGATGAGCCACTTTACCTTGCACTGTTTAGAAGTTTGTGACATCAGCTTTACTATATTAGAGAAGGCTTCATCAAGTGATGTATAAACAAGTGGTTCCTCCACATCCTGCAAAATTACATACAGTTAATTATATTGATTTATTATATGCACAAAAAAACAAGCATCTTTTAAAGATAGCAAATATTAACATTGAATGCATGTACACAATTTTATGCCTTAAAATCTACTTTTTTGAAAAATAAAGTTTACAAAGCAATTTTAAGAAGCAGTGAAAAATGTGAAAGAAATGGTATTCTGTAAAAATTTTATTTGTAATTTTTTTAACTTATTTATAACACTTTTAAAAAAAGACATATTTTTTCACTTTAACTAATTCACTATTTATAAATAGCAGTGGCCCTCTGCCTGTCAACCTTGCAGACTGTGGGTTGGAGGTCTACTGTATTAATCAAGAAACTAAATTAGTAACACACAATAAAGCCATTAATCTAGTGAAGATTTATCAATGTACACAGTGTTCGAAATTAGCAGTAGTCCTATAGCCCCTGACTACTAAATTTCTCCTCGGGCTACCAACTTTTTCAAATTAACAAGCCCGGCCAGGCTACTGTACTTTCAGAGGCAATATAAACAACTATTTTGAACAAATAAATCGTGCTAGTGAAATGTCTTTTGGGCTAGTGAATATTCCAATCTGGTAGTCCGACCAGCCTAGTGGTTTCAAATCCGAATTTCTTACACTGCTGTACATAAATATTCATGTTAGTATTATTATTTACCTGACAAGGTGGACGTGGCGGTTTAGGTGTTGGCCAATCTACTATCCTGGTTCGAGCTCTCTCATAGGTCCTCTGTCCTACCACTGTTAACCTCTCTAATGTATTATATGACCATCCATCCAATGGCTAAAATAAAGCCAAAAATAAATAATAAATCACATTAGTGTATAATCTATTAAACTATAACCAGCATATTCATAACTGGCTTCGGCTATCAGCCATGTTGGTTTTGGCATTCAAAGCATCATGCATTTGAATACTTTATATTGTGTTGTTTGTATCAGAGATAAAGTTAAAAACTGACAACGATCATGAGTATAATATGTACTGCATCCAGAAATGGAATAAAAGAGGAGTTTATAGGGTGAGCATGTTGGTTTTTTTCCAGCAAACATTTTCATCTTCATTCTTGTGTATAGACACTGAAATATGTTGTTTTTGTTTTTTTCAAATCAGTGTACATTAGGTTTTATTGATAATATATGGTAAGTTTATGTGCAGGATTTAACAAATATAAAATTTATTTGGATTTTAAGGCATTTGTTGCTCCACACTCCAAGGCGCTACAAGAGATGACATTGATCTTTACTTGCATGTTTATTATTACTTTTTGTGCTTGGACTTTTTTACAAGAACTGGATTAGGGAAAAAAATAAAAAAAATTTTAATAAAGGTGATAAAATTTTTTTAAACTTATATTCATATTTGCCAATATTTGTTTTAGTTTTAAAATGCTTAACAAATAGGTTAGTCTTTGCCCCAAATTTTTAAAGTCCAATTAGAGGGGCCAAAGATTTTTTGAAAAATTCTGCCAGTCGATTTAAACATCATGTCTACATGTATCTAGATAAACAGGCACATGCCTATGAAATGCAGCTCAAAGACTTTGTTAAAAGCTTATATGCTAATGTCATTATTGCCTCTTAAATGCGTATTTAAATTAGATTCTTCTTGTTTTCACTTACACTGCATTCAATTATTGTTATTTCATGGGCACAGCAATTTTATCGTTCATGCCTAAGTGAATCTGTTACCGCTTCATTCATTGTTTATTTCATTTTATCTTAATCCAATGTTTAATTGTTTATTTGGTCACGTGATTTTTGCACTTGTATTTGCTATATAAGCTTGTGCATTTCTTTATCTTGTTAGTGCTCGCCTATGGTCTCTTTCCGGTGGCGAGGGTAAACAAACGCAAACACACACTACTTTGCTAGGTGTATCGGCCTACTGGTACTCCTTCGAAGCCTTAGTGCTTCATTATAATTTGGGAATTTATTTCTCTTCATTTTATTTATGCTTATTGCAAAATAAATTTTAGTTATTATTTAAATATCGTAGGGGCATTTCTTTTCAATAATTTTGAGTAATATAAATTTTTAACGTAACCGTAATTAGATAACATAGGTCTATATATTATATTATTCATTCACACAATTAAATCCTATAGTTTGAATTTAAAAGCTTGTTGTTGTTCATTGTATATTCCCAATTCCACTATACGGCCAAATTATTTAAAAAACTATTCTATGTGATAAAACATCACATACGAAATTACATTTAGTAGAGTCTGGTACACTAGTTCAATAGATAAGACGTTACAGGCTTGTTATAGTTTTTATGTTGGTCAAGCCTGACGTCTAATAGTTTATTGTCTTAAACGCGTAGCAATTTTGAAAAAAAAATAAAAATGTCTGTTGACTTGCTTTCAAGTTTTATTTCAAAAGCTTATCTTCTGTTCTTTCAATTGCATGGTCTATCATTAACAAAAACTTTCAAACAATGCACTTATCAATTAAAAATAGAATACAAATATCAGTC